GCTCGGCCGCCTCCCTCTGCGCGTCTGCCGCTCCGCGCGCTCGCCCCCGCTCCCGAGCGGGTCCCAACTCCGCCCGCCGCCCGCCCGGCTCACGTCACCCGCCTTCCCCGCCCCTCGAAAGGGAGCCCGAGCCTTGGCCGGCCCTGGCTCCCACCTCGCGGTGACCCGGTTCGCTGCGGGGGGCTGCGCCCAGCCTGGCTGAGCCAGAGGCGGGGGCCTCGCCGCCCCTTCCCCATCCCCGGCCTCATCTGGTCCCCACCTTGGGAAAGGCTCGGGAGAGGCCTCAGGCTCCGATTGGACCGCCGGGCGCCGCCGGATGGTGTTGCCACGGTAACCGGATGGCATGCGAAGCAGTTAGGGTTCCGACCCGGTTCCTCGTGCGCCCAGCGGACCGGGAGAGTGGGTCTGGGGAAGGGGCGCCCCGAGGGAGGATGCGCGGCGCGCTTGGAGCGGGGGTTGCACGAAAAGTTTCCTCCCTCGGGAACTGCACGAAGAAAGGGGCGCAGGGCGCAGCAGCCGAAGGAACCTACTGGGCCCCTGCCCGGCCTCCTTGGGCTCCATCTGCCCTGCCCCCGGGGAGGAAGCGCTGCGTTTCTGGATGGGGCTTCAGCGCTTATGCCTGATTGCACAGCACCCCTGGGATGCGCGCCCGGCCCGTCACGGCTTCTGCCTAGCCAGCCCCAGCTCCAAAGTCCCCGCCGCCCGCGCCCCTGGGTTAGCTGTGTTTGCCAGAGCTTGAATAAAAAGACAGCCACTGTGTCACTGAATGAAGTGACAGAGGCAGGGCCTTCCACGCAAGGCCAGGACCGCCGGCTTCCCCAACACTGTCTGGACAAAGCCGTGCGTCCGAGCCGGGGAGCACCAGGAGTCACCCGTCGGCCTCCAGGTTAGGTGCGCGCGCTGGGTTGGGCGGGCGAGGGGCCTCCGGGCTCTGAGATTGCGACGGCCCCGGCAGGAGGGCAGCTGCTGCCCAACGGGGCAGAGGCAGGCCCGGCGTGGCTTGAGACCGGCCCTGGGGTCCAGACTTCCGCCTCCCCGGGCCCCCGGGCGCAGGGGCACCTGCTTCTCTGCCACGGTCCGGGAAGTGGCAGAGGCAGGCCCGGCGCAAGCTCAGCCCGGGCGGCGCAGGTGCCACCACCACAAACCCCCAGTCCCCTCTTCGTGAGATGGGTTTGGCATTTCCTTCCACACAGACGCAGCTTTGACCCCTGAACGCGGGGCCCTGCGCTGGCCGTGGGACTGTGGGGACTCGGGGTCAGGGGCCGGAAGATACGCGGGCTGAATCGGCGCCTTGCCTCTCGGGGCCACCCCTGGGTCCTCGCCCTGGAGCCCTCCTCCTACTGAAGCGGCCAGGGAAGCCGATCCTCTGGACGCCTTGCAAGAGCAAGCTGGACTCGGGGTCTCTGGCGGAGGAGATGGTTTCCGCACTGCTGCCACCTGGTGGGGAGAAGTGGGGCTGCTCACGGGAGGCTGCGAGGAGGAGTCAGGGCACCGCCGGGGGCCGAGGCCTGGGGGAGGGGCTGGCCTGTCTGTCCTGGGACCCCTCCCCTTGCAACCTGCTGACCTGTCTTTGGGCACACGGCGACTTTAAAAGCACAGGGTCATCAGAAACCAATTACAATGAAATGCATGATTTGAACGTCCACGGACAGGCTGGGTGCGGCTCAGAGGTGGAGCGTGTGTCACGCTTGATGTTCTGGGGTCGAGCTCCTGGACGCCCCCCAAAGGTGAACGAGACAAGCTTGTGGCATATCGATCCATGTTCTCTTCACAAGACATTGAAGAAGCCTTTGGTAGGTCCCCAGATGCCACCATTTTGGGGCCATGTAGTTAAACACGGTATTGCGAGACATCTGCACCCCAGAAGTCTGAGGGTCAGCCGGGACAGCTCCTGCCCTACCACCTGGTCTGCTTCTGACACTTAAACTCTGAGGACGTAGCAAAAATAAAGATGGTGTTTCCAGCCCCCTGCAAGTTTAAAGACCCTGCAGCGCCACACGCGTGCTCTGGGGGTCTCCGAGCCAGGAGGATGTGTGAGAAAGGGTTTTCTGAGAACAAAGACAGGAACCAGCAGTGGCTTGGGTCACCATGGCCGCCGGAGCCCGGGCGGCCGAGTCCGTGAGGCCCTTCCCGCCTGTGGGGAGGGTATTGCCAGAGTTCTCACCCAGGGTGGAATCCCCACACCGCCCGATTTTCCCCTGGGGTAAGCCTCGCTCCTCTCTCTCCAAAGAAAGCCCCGCCTCTTGCTTCTACATGAGAACGCTCTCTTATTTACGCAGCCACACGCTTCCGCACTCAGCTGACTGGTTTCTTTGAGCTTACTGGCTGCCACGGGTCTGACCTGTGAACTGTTCTCCCTTTGGAAAGAGGAAGGTGAGGATGTGCCATTCACACACCCGCACACCCGCCCATGCACGACAGACACATGTGCACACATGCACACATGGTCACACACACCCGCCCACATACATGCACACACAGACAGGCGTGCTTGCACCCACCCACACAGTCACACAAAGGATCACAGTGTGCACACACACTCGAACATGGACATGCGCTCACACACGCATGCACAGATGATCACGCATGGGCGGTCAGCACCCGTGGACATGCCACACAAGGGTCTGCGTACAGTGCCACCCTGGCCTGTTCTCTGTGCCCGCACACTGGCACTGGACCAGGCTGCTACAGGGCAGGCTGAGTCTCCTCCTGTCCTCAACAAAGGGGCTAGCAGCCCTGCGGGAGGTCCTCCTGCCGCTCTCTGAGGCCATTTACCTAATGGCCTTCACAGACTTGACTATTTTTAAATCCCATCCAAAGCCAAATTGAGCTGCCGTGGCTCATTTTTCTCCCAAGGAGGTAAATGTGTCTTAAGCATGACATTTGATTAAGTAGCTAAGTTTGGGGTTTTAAATGGAAGGGAAATGCTGATTAAAATTATTGTAAGTCTCTTTAAAACCTTGGTTCACACTGGTGTCTTCTCGCCCTCCTGGCTCTGCCCACTCCCCCACCCAATGTCACCTTGCCTTCCTTCCCAGGGGACGTTGAGCACTGGGGCTTTGGAATTCCTCCTCTGGTAGTCGCGGTGGTCTCCAGCTGAGGCTCCACAGAGCTGGTGTGGGGCAGGGGCCAGAGTGGGCGTGGAGGAGCTGAGGTTCCACCTGCAAAGCGAAGGGCAGGACTACCTGCCCCAGCTCAGGGCCTGCAGTGGGGAGCGTCCCAAGCCGTGCTCCGTAAAGCACACAGGCGCGCAGCAGGAACCAGGGGCCTCGGCCTCGGCTGGGGCAGGGGAGAGCGAAAGGCTCCCCACAGCAAGGCAGAGAGCCAGCTGCCGCCAAGAACAGGATCTGGCCAAGAGGCACACTCATTTCAAGGCTTTCAGGAGTCTGGCTGATAGCTTTGCTTCTCCTATTTAGATGAGAAAGGATGAAGAGAAAGAAGATTAATTTGCATTGCAAAATAAAGCAACGAGGTTTGAAAGCAGTTCCCGACCTTGCCGGCTTGGGGGGCTTGGGGACCAGAAGCTGGGGAGCGGGGAACTAGTACCCAGGGTGGGCGAGGCAGACGGGAAGCCAGGCCCAGGCTGGGGAGGGCCACGGCCTCGTCTATGGCTGACGGGGACCGCAGTCCCACGCCTCTGCCTTCCATTCAAGTTCTGTCTGTGCGGCCACACCTGCAGTGTTTGATGAACCTGAAGTTGAGTCATTCTGGTGGAAGGAGGGCTTCCAGAGCACAGCCAGGGGCTAGAGGGACAAGAGGAGCCAAGAGCAGCGACAGCGGGACCATCCGGGAAGAGACCTGTGGAGAGACCTCCCTCCTCCCTCATTTTTCATAAGATTCTGGACCTTAGCAAGGGACACGAACAGGTGGGAGGCCCTCCCAGCTCCCTGGTGGGCTCTAGACAGACTGCTTGGATGTTCAGAGGGTCTCCGCGGCCCACCTGTCCATCCCAACACTACCCACATCTCACCTTCGACGTTCCCGTTGCTGGCAGAGGGGAACATGCTCTCTTCCAGTGCCCAGGAAGTAAGGTTCCCTGGCTAAGGCTTGCTGAGAACATACAGTGGGGAACAGGGACATGGGCAGGAGGTCACCATGGGGCCAGCAACAGGGTCCCAGGCCCAAAGATCCAGGGGAAAGAGGAAGCCCTGGACACCAGCTTTGACTTTACCCCATCAGCGAATTTCCTGAATCTGCTCATCACCCACACCAGTCAGCGTGGGCTAGACACGCTGTACCAGCCAGCACCCCAGGCTC